CTTTTTTTAAACGTGTACTTATATCTGTATTGGAGATAGTCGGAAGTCACTTCTTGTTTCATCTTTCTATTCAATCTCACTTTTTTAGTTTTTGTCTTTTTCTTTTAGTTCTATCTTCTCTCTTTTTTCTCCTTTCTGATTTGTATTTTAATTGTACTTTTTATATACCTTAAGAAAAGTTTTGATCAAAAAAAGATTTAGTTAGTTTTAAAGCAAGACTATATCACTGAGAACTGAGCATAGTTTGTAATCCATTCATGGGCAGATGAGAGGCTTTGGCTTGTTTTGAACACTGTCATTCATTGGCCAGAGGAAAAAACACTGCAAAATGTTGTGACTTCCCTCCCTCGTCCATTACAAGGCTCCAGGCTCCTTTCTAAGCGCTCAGTTCCCACGCAGGGAAACCATGTACTTCACTTGAAGGAAGTTCTGTTCCTCCTAAGAGGTTTAGCAAACTGGACTTGCTGGCCAGATTGTAAGAGAGAGGTGCGGAGGTGTCTGACTCGGCCCTTAAAGGACCACAATGGGTGGCTGGCTGCTGACCAGTGAACTGCTCTTTTAGAAACAAGGGGAATTTAAGTGTCTCGACCTTAGGAAGCTCATCTTCAGTCTCCTTTATGTGCCACTAAAAATAAGAACAATTATGGTTCTCTTTAGTTGTTGAGTAGAAGAGAAATTTACGGGGGAAATCAACAGAACAGATTGTGATTGGAACTGGGATCAGTTCATAACATTCAAAGACACACAGAATGTTTCCTGTTGGATTGTGGCATACTTGTATCTAGTATGGGGTTAGTATATGGTCATCTGACAGATGCGTATGGCACTCCTTGGTCCTTGAGAGCTTGAGATCTTATGCAAAAGGAACACACCCCAGATAAACAGGAGTGCCATTTCAAGACCTGTTAAGTATCGCCTCTCAACTCTTGACTTAACAGACTCTGCCTCTGAATTCCGGAAGTACCACCAGTTGCCAGACCTGGCATGAGAATTACAGTATAGCACTAAAACTTATTTTGCCACAACCCTTCAATAGTATTTGCAGGAGGGAAGAACACACCATAAGAATGACAAACCTGAAAGGGAAGGGGGGAAAAGAGGTGTAATCAGTGCTGAATTATTATTTCTGGGTCATCAGCTGTGAGCCTTGTCTTAAGGAGTTGCATTTTGGAAGTAACCTCCCCTGTTCACTTCAGTGTTTGGGGCTGATCAAATCATTGAAGTCACAGCCACCATGTTAGTAATCACCACCAGTTTGGGTGGGGATTATAGAAATTCTTGGAGGAAAGGCCTATAAAACGTGTTAGTTATGATGGTAAAAATTAGAGTTTTCATGTTGTCAAACAGTGTATCTCAGAAGAGCAGGGCAAAGAATTGGAGGGGTTATTTTTATTGTGTCTATATAATTAATAAAAGAATATGTACAACAGCATCAAGAATATAATATAACCTCAACATGAATAACCACACTCATAAGAAGGGAAGGGGGAGTCTGGGAAATTTAACTATGCTGCCTGCATAAGAATCTTATTCTTTGTCCCTTCATCAAAATAAGAAAAGGCATAAGAACAAAGACAAAACAAATCGACTGACAATACATATCAACAACCCATTGCTCAAATCAGGTATATAATTCTCTTTCCATATTTATATGATAATTCTTTTAATACAACTCTGTTTCTCCCAATATTACAATTTTTGGTGTTGTAATAGAGTCCAAATACTGCAGATGTAGCCAAGGAACCACTAACAATCCTGTTGATTTCACTAGCACGTATGCCAATGATAGGACAAATCTGAACCGCACTAAATGTGGGGATCCAGCCCTGGAAACATATTCTGTTGGACTGTCTTCTCCCCAGATTTATGCAAATAATCTCATTCATTTAGTCCCATTTCTCGTGTCTTTGGACGGGACACTCCATTATGGATTTGCTACTACCATAACTTCTCCCTTCTCCGGCTCAGTGTGAAGTCCGTGGAAAACAGAGGAAAGGCAGTGCAGGGGGGTAATGGATAGTTTGGATTAGCATTTAAACTGGTTCTAGCAGGCTACAAACTGGGTGTTTCTTGTCCTACAAATAGCTATGACGATTCAAGCACAGACACTTCCTTTTTGCATGCTTTTTTTGAAGTGCTCATAACATCCAAATAAAATCTGTTCAACCTAGAAAGCCCTTTGCCAGCTGCCTTTCAAAGGCACCTTCTTCTTTCCACCAGATAATCCACCATGAATGGTTCATGTGTAGATCCAATTTTTATTTTAAATTACTGTACAGAATTATTATTAAAATAAGCTATTTTTCTTCCCACTCCTCAAGCTATACTCTCAGGTTTAGGTGATTTTGCCTCAAGCGAACCTCCCATTTTATGTACAATATCACTGAGCTACCTCTGGTATTGGCATTCTTCGTGCATGCATTCCCCAGAAGCTATGTGTTCCCAACTTATTCCCAGTATTTCCCCTTTGTTTTCCCCATCTTCTATGTTCTTTTCTGAGAAAAGTCAAAGGAACACTGCAGGCTGTGTTTGTTTTAACTCTCAGATATTCCCTGTTTCAAGTAGGCTATAAAGTTCATCAAGGATTTCTGTTTCCCAGTTGTTTAATAAAAGGAGCCATAAAATGCCCCCCTCTTGGTCTAAATGAAAAAACCTGGGGAGAACTGAAATGAAGAAAGCTTGGAGTAACTAGGAATTTTTTTTTTGTTTGTTTTTTTGTGCAAAGAGCTGAGATCTCCGTTTACTTCTGGTACTAACAACAAATTCATGACTCAGAATTTGCAAGTCCAGATGCTTGTCTTTTGAACCAGTCTCCAATCTTGAGATTAGTAAAAAATAAAGTACATCCCACAAGGCTGAACTTTGCTCATCTTCTTTCTGTTTTATATCTAAAAGAATATATATTGGAGCATGAGTGGAGTTTTAGTGATTCTCAGTACTGACAATCATAAGGCTATACTCTTATTCAAAATTCCATTCACAGTTCTGACAGCATGAATGAGCCACAAGTAGAAACAGCCATTCACAACTGTACTGATATGAATGGAGTTGCCAGAGAAACCTGCCAGTCAGTTCCTCTAATGCATAACGGAATGAAACTTGAAGAGTTTGGCACCCTTGCTAAGCAGTAAGGTAAGCAGTAAGATAGCAGTAAGAGTAACAGTAATAACAATAATTATACCAATACTCAGATCCCTTTGGGTAGAAGAGATTACTTGTTATCTTCAATATATTTATGCATATACTTAAAAGAGCTATTAATATTAATAAGACATTTCCACATAATGTACCATGCTGAAGATTAAAATATCCCTTCCTTGTTACTGAGTTTCTGCAAGGTCTGGATGTATAAATATACTTTCTAATGCTCCATTGTGAAGCACACAAACAGCACATATGGAATGAGGTCATAGACTTAATGCACCTTACCCCCAGGCAGGTGGGTAGCCTCATGGCAGCTTTAACTTGAAAACTCATTGAAAGCCACTAATATACATGTTTATGAACATAGTGCAAAATTCATTTAAGTCTTATTGCAACAGAGTAATATGATTGCCCACCTGAGATGTCTCTGTGAGAAACCACAGGTATTTCTCACACCAACAGCCTCTGAATAAATGAAAATAAGGATGCTACCTTCTATGGATCTTCAATTACTGAAAAACAGAAATGGTGTTTCTAATTCCCAGGGCTGTGCTGCTGACGTTTGATAAATATGTAACTTGCATCAAGAGGCATCTAGACAAAATGGTACTCACCAAGGATGTTTCCTATGAGAGCCACAAGAAATACAATAATATAGCCAACAATTAGTACCCATTCATATTCCTTAGGATGCAAATATTCCTCCCAGAGATATTGCAGAAATTCTTCCTCATCATAGTCTGTGAGGGGGTTTCCAAAGGGGTCCTGAGTTCCATTCACTGTCATATTAGAAGACCAGTTTCTGCAAGACAGAAAGCCATCTTCCACTTGAGTCGCAGACATAATTTATTCTGCTCTGGGACTGAAGTCAGTCTTTCAGTGATTTAGCCTGTCTTCAAGCCAATCAAACATAACTGCATTCAGCAATAGAAAAAAAGCAGGCAGAAAGAAGCTAGGGGAAGATGAAAAAAAGAGCCTGATGTGTCAATGGAACTTCTTCCACTAGCTTTGCATCAAGGATCTCCCAGTGGCAGGATGCTTGCTGCAGCTCCAGAAACACCGAGGTTGCTGTGACACAGAAGCAGGCACGAGAAACAATTCCTGCATATAGCTTCTTAACTCAGCCAGAGTGTGTGCGAATCACATTCTTGCAGTGACAGGCAAAATGAAAAATGCAGCATGTTCTGAGGGACTCTAGAGATCATGAAACGAGAAGGGAGAAAGTGTGTGTGCACACTTGCAATTGAGTGTGATCATAAACCCACCAAGACTTTTGAAGGCGTCCTTTTGCTCTTTGATTAGACATTTGTACAATCCATGATCTTTAGTAATACAGAGATATTCTGGACAGGATGAATGAATCACAGATAATTTTTTATGATCTCTTGTAAGGTAGCATTTTATTCTCATGGAATGAAGGCTTTCCTCTCCTTCCTAGCATTTGATTCTGCATGACTTTGAGAAAATATAGCATATCATATAATAGTGCAAGACTAAAAGAGTCTTGAACAGTTGCTTCCCGGTGCCTAGTAAACTATAAAGAAAATTGCTTGGGTATTGATGGGCAAAGGACAGCTATAGGGATGAATGTGACCCTTGCTTAATTTCATATGGGCTGAAGCAAGCATTCAGTTCAGAATTCTTGCAAGAGTATTCTGTCCTTCCACAGGAAGGAAGGAAGGAAGGAAGGAAGGAAGGAAGGAAGGAAGGAAGGAAGGAAGGAAGGAAGGAAGGAAGGAAGGAAGATGGAGAGAGGCAGGATCCCGTTTACCACTAGCATATGGCACCAATAAATGATTTCCCCAAACTAATGAACTTGTCATTCGTGCAGGAGTGGAGAAAGACAACTCTCTGCTCTTGAAAGAATAAGTCTTCTCAGACGATTTGTCTGCATCAGTCATGAAGACTAAATATGAAATACAGTTGCAAAATCTTAGCAAACAGATGTAATGGATCCAACACTTCCTCTCTCCTACTAATCTCTTTCTTTAAACAAGAAACATGGCAAACCCAGCCAGACGAAAATTTATCAGAATTCACATACCAAGCCAATTTCTCTGTATAGCAGAAATTACTGGGAAAACATCTGATGCATGGTAGGACATATCCAGAAGATATCTGAGCAAGTCATTCAAACTACTGATTGGTCACTCTCTCTAGAATCTACTTCTTCCCCACCTCCCATGAAAACTTTTGATGAAATTCGCTTCATTTTCAAGCAGCTGTCAAAGAGTTCAAAGGTTCCTGGTAAGTTTATTAGGTAATGTGTTTAATTTTAAAAAGCAGTCAGACACTTATGATACCTTTCTGTTTGATTCTTTAATAAATGTACTGAATTGGAAGTTGGAGTTCATTTACTTATTTTGCATAGCTCAGGCAAGGAGTAGTCTTACCCATGTCCTAGACTGCAGGCTGGGCATGTTTGACTCTCTAAAGCAGGTCAAAGGACATTTCATGAAAATGAACCTATCTTTTTCCATGGATGCAAACCAAACACTTGGAATATCATGTGTTCACACCAAGAAATGTACTTGCTATGCATCACACAAGTGGTAGTAATTATGTATGCCCGAAAAATAAGCAGGGGGAGTGATAACCTGACCTACCATGCAAGGTTGCAGAAACAGATGCTCCAATTGTCAATAAATGCCAGGTTTTGTGAAGAAGGTCCTTTAAGCAGGCATCCTGGGAGAAGATGAAAAGATATTAGCCTATAGGATAGAAATGAAAATCTCCTGTCTTCCACTAAAATTCCTAAACACAGAAAGACAATCAAGAGTTTTGACACTTGGAAGACTCTCATGATACCTTTCACTACATTTTATGCAAGTCAAGGACAGCAAGGTTCCTCAGGGTTATATCCATTCTTTGAAATGCAAAAAATAATAAAAATTGGCAGCATGTAACAACATCTATTTATAGCAGTACATTCTGAAAGAAGTTTGCATCCATATAAAAGACCTGAGAAGTTAAGTCAATAATTTTGGTAGTTACACTGACAAATAATGTAAAGGATTAAGAGCAGAAGAGAAGCAAAAATTTACTACATACAATGTGCTTGTAAGAGCTGCATTCAAAATTTATGGCACAATTACATTTTAAATGAGTCAAATTAACACCCATTCTGTAGCAGTTGCTTCTCCTTGTGATAAGCTTTATTAGTGAGCAACCACCTTTTCTCTAGTTTATCTTGAACCTATGTTAATTTGGGTGACATATTAGTCACTTCCTGACCTTTTCAATTCTAATAGCATCAGCTGTCTTAGGTGTCTTGATCTTTTTCTCCCTGTAACTTATCTTTATCAACTATTCTCCACTTTTTACTTAAGTCAGTAAGGAACTTACAAAGCCTACACTGGCTATTAAATGAAGAAGTTTCTCCATGCCAGTAGAGCCATGAAAAACTACACAGCTAAATGGCACCAAATTGTTTTATTTCATTGACCGATGTATACATATTTATGTATTATTTATCAACTGGAATGTTTCTTTACAAAGCTCATGGTTATAATACAAAGTATGCAGGAGAATTATATTACTTTTGCAAAATTAAAACTCAAGCATTGTAGAATTTTATCAGAGATAATTTCTCCAGAAAAAAAAGAGAGTTCTGTTTTCAAATTATCTTCTTTTCAAATGGTGAATGTTTTTGATGGTGTCCAGTGAATCTGAGACGATGTCAAACTTCTGCAAGGTCTGATCTGAATTCTTTTCATCAGTGACAGGAAAGGAGTGGAATAAGAGATAGATATTTTCTGGTTTCTCTTTTCAGTTTTCCAAGGGCACTTTTAGACAGAGGCTTTCTTATTGCCCAAGTCCTTTCGATTCCATATTTAAAATGGAGCAGGGCTTGCGAGTGGTGCTCTCATTATTAAAGTTACTAGGTCATGATCAGGATTTCTGTTCTGGGAATCTGTAGTGCTTGAATACAACTAGCAACCAATCCGAACATGCCCTTCCTGGTCAATAGGTGAGCAGAAAAATCTTAGCAATCAACTTTTGCTCAGTAATTGGGATCAAAGAAAACCCAGCTGCTACTACACTGCTTCCCTCTGCCCGCTCCCCCCCCCCCCCTTTTCCATTTTCAAAACTTGGGAAAAGAACAGCAGTAAATCATTACTTGGTGAGATCACGTGTGCCCAGCTATCACATCACCTGAATTGTGGGGGTGAAGGAGTCTGTACACTCTGCCAGAAATCTGAACTTCCCTTTGGAATTGCCCCAAGTGTTTGTCCTGCTTCTCCTCTAGTTAGTCAGCTAAATTCCATCTGTCAGGCTTCTCAACACAGGTGGATGTTTTAGATGCAGGAAA